CATTACTATTGATAATATTATATAAACGTACTTTCACCGATAGCATATTTAGGATTGCCCCTTTTGTCAAACAGTACTATTCTATTGTTGCAATATCCGTCAGCGATGACAATGTCGCCACTCGGTAAAACCGCGACTGAGGTTGGCTGGCAGAAATGATTTATATCGCTTCCAGGCTCAAATCTTTGACCGAGAATCAGTTGAGGAATACCGGAAGTCGAGTACTATAATTTTATGCAGATAGTTTCTAATATGTTTTTAACAGTAATAACAATAAAATTATATAGAAACAAAACCGAAGTACATCACCTAAGTATGTGAAGACGCCATTTGACGATTAAAGTCAGATGTTAAATATATATATACATATGTATTCTTTAATTAAATGAATTTATCTCAGAAATATGATTGCGCGGCGCCTTTATTATCGGACATTTCAACACAATCTATCTGAAATATTAATAATCCCCTCAAATTTAGTGTATTTACATACATATATAGTAAAGAGCGCCTTAAGGATCGGTCAAAGTTGGAAGTTTCGAATAATATAATATTCTAAATTTATGAATTTAATTAATCTCAAATGTGACTGTGCGCTGAAACGTTCGGATATTAAAACACAATCTTTTATGAAATAAAGGGGGGATTATATATACTCGTGATTGTCCGAACGTTTCGGCTCGCGATTATTAGCATTTCAGATTGATTATATTTTAACATCCGAACGTTACGGCGCACAGTCACATTCGAGATTAATTAAATTCAAACTTTGAACTTAGAATATTATATTACTCGAAACTTTCAACTTTGACCTTAAGGCACTCTCTACTATATTATGTTGTTACATTAACTCGGTCGGTTTCTATTTCTTAGTTATATACATGTTAAAACCTATAAAGAACTTATTACGAAAAATATTACCTCGGCCGGGAATCGAAACCGGATCTCTAGCATGTCATGTGAACGTCCTAATTAAGCTTTAGATTACAGAGGCACTAATATTTCAGATGGATATAGTGTTGAAAGTATCCAATAGTAACATCGCGCAATCATATTTCTGAGATAAATTCATTTAAAGAATATATATATATATATATATATATATATATATATATATATATATATATACTCGTATATATATTAGTTTAACATCTAACTTTGACTGTCGAGAGTGGCGCTTTTATAATAAAAGATTAATTCTAATATGTAATAATTTATTGCTGTATATAAATAACAAATTTTTATCAAGTTTTCAATTATTTTACTTAATGCAATTTTAATATGTGTAGGGCAGACCGGGGTCAGTTGACTATAGGAGTAGAATAATCGAGGTTACATATTAAAAACAAACACGCGAGACACGCATAAATGTGTTTAAGCACGCTAAGTCTGATGTAACATCTTGTTGCGAACACATCTATGATAGAAGTTACGCCACAATTTTATAAAATCTTATACCTAAGTAAATATTTTTATTCTTAAAGTTTTTGTTTTACAATCGTATATGATTGTCTGAGATATTTGATTTCTACTTAGATAGTAAATGTAGTTCTTACTTAATAAAATTTAACAGATTTTTTGTGTTTATATGTTTTTGTTATCGTATATTGTTAATGTTTTTAAAATATGAACGGATGAGGATAGTAGATTAATCACAGCATGGAACTGTATGACTTATTTAGTGACCACTCTTATAGTACTTACTCAAAATTTTATTCCTTTAAAGAGATTTTCCTCAGTCGTAAATGTTATAAGTTTAGTTTCCTCATGTCCAATCTTGAAAACTAGGCTCATTCGACGTATTTTTGCACGCAATGAACAAATTTTACAAAAAGAAGCATTTTGCCCTGTGAAGCGAATGTTTGTGTTTAAAATATATTTTTATAAAAGTTTTATTAATATGTAGCCAAGACGTAGTTTAAAATACATTAATCTTTATTTTAATAATCTTAATTGAATTAGATGGAATGTGCATTAGAAAAATGCATTTTTTTCGTATTATTTATCAGATTCCCCTTATTAAAATATTATTAGGTAGTCAAATATATGTAATAACTGGTGTAGAATTTTTTTCAATAAGTCTCTTAATTTCATCTGTAAAAATTCGAAACTAAAAAATGAGTCTATTAGCCCCGGTCTCTCCTATATATTCATTATTTATATATAATTATCAGGGGGTTGGAAAGTTTGAGTCTGAGCATAAGATTTGTCGTAAGATTTATTTATTGTTAGACTTAAGTTGTAGATATAATCAACGTACAAACTTTGGCGTATGACGTACTTATTGCCGTATCTTCAAGAATCTTTTGGAAACTCTTGGAAGAGATTCTTGAAAAATTTTTAGATGCTAATTTTAGAGCATTCTGCTCATTGGGTAACTCAAAAAAATTGCGAAAATTTCGAAATGATAGAAAACTGTTCGATTTAATATTCAATTTAGTTCGCTTTACCACAAATGTATTAAAAAAACGTTTGGATCACTTTGTATAATAACGAACTATAAATACTACATTTCAATATCTGTTTATGATAGTTTTCATATATTCAAGATATGAAAAAAATACACGGAAATTATGCCATAAAGAGGTTTAAAGTATAAAAAGTAACGACAAAAATAATTATTAAATTTGCTACTGTTATTGAACAAGTATGACTATGTTAGTGTTACAACAAATAACGTCATTAACAATATGTTACAAAAAAAAAAGTAATAATAGTGTTATAAGTACCTAATAGTACCTTAATAGTTACTTCTCAACTCTGATAATTACTAACAATAAAAACACTTTCTTTTTATCATTTATTAATTATAATAGATGCTATTTGTGTGTTTTTCGAATGCGAATTTCTTTACATACCTTGAATACTTGATGAAGAGCAATATCAGTCAACCATATATTTCCAAAGGGATCGACGTGAATTCCGTGCGGTAAATAAAACGTTTGATTTCCCCAACCGCAAATAATATTACCAATTTTAGAATCCACCTTTAATACTGTGTTCTCACGAATGGGACCTCTGTATTTCTCTTGGTATTCTGCATTTTCGTCGAAGGTACTAAAATTTCATCAAATGCATCAGCTGCGTTCAGAAGAGAAAGCAGCTTTACAGCTATTGTAAATTTTTTTAATACGATTAGTTCTTGCTTTTGATTCCTTATAGATCTAAATGTATAAATAAATCATATTGAAGAATTTTACAATTAACAGTTGCAAAATTGCTTTCTCTGAACGTAGTAATTATTAACATGATGAGTATTTTAGATTAAAATAATTGTTTTTACACACATTTAAATTACATTAGACATTTAAAAAAATACAAATAAAATAAATAATTAAAAATAATAAATTAATTGTACACTTGTACACGCAATTAGATTTTTCAGAAAGAGAAAGTTATATATTGAATATTAAAATAAATTGAAATAAAACTATCTTCAAAATTATTATTATATTTTTTAAATATAAAAACTATAAATATAGAAAGTATTGCAGAGTACTTAAATGCTTCGTTGTTTTTCTTAACGAGTATGATTTAATTTTTATGTCTTTGATTTGCATTCATTAATTTATTAATGACTTACTCGTAATTCCATGTTCGATCTCCGCGATGAAAAATTACGAGATTTCCCGTCGGTTCCACAGCGACTCCGGAAATCTCACCAAGATTTTCGGGACTTCGCCAGAAACGATTTTCGATGGGATGCAATGGCGTGTTATAGGATTCCGAAAACTGATCCTGCATAATAAAGATAACAAGAAAGTCGTAAACATATGATTATTACAGACCAGGATTATTGTTATTATAATATTAAAATATGATTCATGCGATTTTGGTATTTTATATATCTCTATATAGATTAGAGATATATAATGCCTCATAATAAATACTCAAATGTTACTCTATGAAATTAATACGGATGAGTATTAATACAAACTTAAGTAAAAAGAGGAATATGCTTATTAATTTATTAAGTTTTTTACACGCGTAAATATTATTTTAAATATTACGACGTAACAATTTATTAAGATGTAATATATTAAGTATAAATTAAGTTACATACGTGAGAAAATTGGTCAGGAGCGTCAAATTTATTGAAGTTACTTCCATCGAAGCTTCCATCGTTGATATTGGATGTAACACCTCTAAATATCACTACTGCGCATATCAAGAGAATTCGAAGGAATTCGTTTCTTCTACTCGCCATTGTCTCTCTGCTCTTCCATAAATCTCGCAGCTGACGAGGTCCAAACCGAGATGTCGAATCGATAATACGCGCAAGCGCTCGTCGAATTTAAATTGTTGCACCTCGGAAATATAACTCCAGAGAAATTAATGCAACAAGTACATGAGAAGCGATGAAGGGAATTGATGGCCTGGCCATAATACGAACAAAAGGATTCAACAACAAGTTTGATGAAAAATTCGATTAAACAAAAAGAGAAAAAGAAGATATAAAAAAAAATTATTTTGTTATAATTATAGATCGAAATAGAGTATATCTGTCTATAAATTATTTATATATTAGAACAATAGCGATTATAACGCAACCATTAGAAATTAACAGCGTAATATAACAGAGACATAATACGAGAACACAATAAAAAGCAGAGTGGAGAATTATTGCGATCAAAATGTCAATGATAAACTTAATAATTGCTATTCCTCATTATTATTTTGTGATATAACTGACATAGATTTGCTATAACTTTTTAAAATTGTTTATTAGAAATAATTGTTTATTCAGCAGTAACGATTACTTCA